ATTCAAAAGAAATTAATCTAAAGATTGGGTGCTGATTCTATGTAATAGTGAAGAAAAACTTTGTAAATAATAACTAACTTAGAATTGATTTTGAACTCAAGTCTTTAATAAGAGAAACATCAAAGCTTAGCTTTTATCACCTTCAATTTAAAAATTTATAACTTAGTTCCATTATATTTTTTTAATCTTTAGTAATATCTTCTACTTATATTAATTCTTTAAGCTCTTTATTACAAATTTTTCTACAAAAATTAACATACTTCCATAGTCCCACTTCTATTTTCATTCTACGTCATCTAAAATTTAAGAGGAATAGATATATTAATGCTTGCATGGACATGAGCAAATGATTTTAGTAACCTAAATCTTAACTTCTTTGTGTTGACACCACTTTTACATCTCTCATATCATTCTTTGAAAGCTTGAAGTTATTTAATTTTAGAATCTTTCTTTATAACAACTTCTTTAAGTAAAGCGATCTTGACAATCAAGTAGAATTTAAAAGGGTTAAAAGATTGATAATTATAATTAGTCAAATTAAATATACCTTTACTAATCTTTGCAAGATAAGGATTAGATAATGGTTTTATCAAATAGATACAAATAGATATCCTAGAAAAAACTTGCAAGATATGAGTAAAAAAGATACATTGTCATACATTGGATATACTCTTCAATGAGTAAAAAAAGAAGGTACTACTAGAAAATTATAAAACTACATGTAGCACTATCAACAAATGAAAACACATATCTAAAAGAATAAGGTGCCAAAAATACATCTCCAAGAGCAAAGGCTCCGAACTATACCTACATTCTAAGATTTTGAATTTCTCCACTTTCCTTATTACTACAGATAGCTCCAAGCTCAATTGTTAAAACTCTTTTAGCAAACTTTGATGTGCTAATAATCTCTCCAAAGGAATCCACACTTGGACTTGTGTGTACAAACATCAATATATTTGCTTAACCACATGTATAAGAATGATGAACAAAAAATAATCACACATTGTTAAATAATCATTATAAAAACCATTGAATAACCACCATATCAAAGGACTAGAACTAATATTGTTATATATAATAAATAATAATAGAAAATATCCATAGTCAATGTGAAGACTAATCATTAACATCTCTATCTTCCAATACCTAATGAATTCTTTAGAAGTTGTAGAAGCTTGCTATTCTTGGAAGACATATGACCACTCTTTTGTACCATTGTAATTGTAACATCACCTAAGGCTGAGAGAGATTTGATGATATATTGAACTTCTTTCAATCTATCATTTGTAGCTCCAAACCGATCTACTTGTTCACTTCTTGTGAGTTCAACTAAATGGAGTGATTTCCTTAAAACAACTCCAAATTCTAGATCTATGCCATACACATGCATTGTGAAAATACTATATACAAAAAAAAATTGTGTCTTAATATTTACTTCTAAACTGCTTAGAATTGTCATTAACACTATCCTCTAAATCTTGGATATGTGTATGATTCTCTTTTTAATATAATAAATAGAAACAAAATTGAAATGACATTCATTAAAATTTTAGATTAAACTAAATAGAAACTACCAAATTATTTAGTCACAATTTAGCTTGTGTTTATTCAATATCAAGTAGGTAAGTAAATACAAAGTACAACAATAAAATCTTGAAAAGACTTATCACAAAGCAAAGTGACACAAATAATGACAACATGAAGAAAAGATGAGAAAGAATGATACCTATGAAATTTGCTATTGCACTCATTAAGAATTGTAGCACCAACTGTTCTATTCTTTTGACCAAATTTCATTGGGTCCAACATATCCTTTGTTGACTATATTGACATTCTACTAACATTGAGAATATTTAGACTATTTAACTAAGAGTTGTTCTAAATTTCAAGTATGCTTATAGCCAAAACAAAAAGAACTATAACTAATAGATTTGTTTTACAAAGCTACACTGTCTAAATTAGAAGAGTAAAAAAGAAGACAAAAAAAATAAAAGTCTAAGAAACAAGTTAAGATTTAAACTTCAAGTTAATCAAAAGGATATTTCTTTTGAGTATTATTTATAGATAAAAGATTCTATACTTATTAGTTGTAAATCTCAAGCATGTGCATTTCAATGTCATAGCAAAAAACATCTTATTTGCTCTAGATTATATAGAACAAATCATAGAAGGTTCTATTGTTAAACCTCCAATCAATTGGTATCAAGTTGTTTGGACCACTCTATTATCAAAACAAAGCATTAGATTCAAAACATATAAAAAAGTTAATTATCCTAATTCATTTAGCAATAATGACAATTACACAACTCAATTAGCAATGATATCAAGCTTCATTAATTTCTTATATTATAGGTAGTCAAAGATGTAAGATTGCCCAATTCATTTGGCAATGATATTAAGCTTGAGTATCCAAATACATCAAATTGAAGTCAAAGATGTAAGGTTGTCCAATTTATTTGGTAATAATATCAAGCTTGAGCACTCATAAATTTCAAAGGTAGTCAAAGATGTGAGGTTGCCAAATTCATTTGGCAATGATGTCAAGCTTGAGTAATAACTTATGTTCAAGGTAGTCAGAGATGTGAGGTTGCCCAATTCATTTGGCAATGATGTCAAACTTGAGCAAGAACTTATATTCAAGATATTCGAAGATGTGAGGTTGCCTAGTTCATTTGGAAATGATGTCAAGCTTGAGTAAATACTTACATCTAAAGTAGTCAAAGATGTGAGGTTGCCCAATTCATTTAGCAATGATGTCAAGCTTGAACATTCACTTATATTCAAGATAGTCAAAGATGTGAGGTTGCCCAATTCAATTGGCAATGATATCAAGCATGAGCACTCCCACATATCCAAGGTAGTCAAAGATGTGAGGTTGCCTAGTTCATTTGGCAATGATGTCATGCTTGAGCAAATACTTACATCTAAAGTAGTCAAAGATGTGAGGTTGCCCAATTCATTTGGCAATGATATCAAGCTTGAGCACCTCCACATATCAAAGGTAGTCAAAGATGTGAGGTTGCACAGTTCATTTGGCAATGATGTCAAGCTTGAGCAATAACTTATATTCAAGGTAGTCAAAGATGTGAGGTTGCCCAATTTTTTTGACAATGATGTCAAGCTTGAGCAAGAACTTATATTCAAGATAGTCAAAGATGTGAGGTTGCCTAGTTCATTAAGCAATGATGTCAAGCTTGAGAAAATACTTACATCTAAAGTAGTCAAAGATGTGAGGTTGCCCAATTCATTTGACAAAGTTGTCAAGCTTAAGCACCTCGCCATATTCAAGGTAGTCAAAGATGTGAGGTTGCCCAATTCATTTGACAATGATGTCAAGCTTGAGCAAGAACTTATATTCAAGATAGTCAAAGATGTGAGGTTGCCCAATTCATTTGGCAATGTTGTCAAGCTTGAGCACCCCCACATATTCAAGGTAGTCAAAGATGTGAGGTTGCCTAATTCATTTGGCAATGATGTCAAGCTTGAGCACCTCGACATATACGAGGTAGTCAAAGATGTGAGGTTGCCCAATTCATTTGGCAATGATGTCAAGCTTGAATACCCACTTATCTTCAAGATAGTCAAAGATGTGAGGTTGCCCAATTCATTTGGCAATGATATCAAGCTTGAATACCCACTTATATTCAAGATACTCAAAGATGTGAGGTTGCCCAATTCACTTGGCAATGATGTCAAGCTTGAGCAACGACTTACAATAAAGGTAGTCAAAGATGTGAGGTTGCCCAATTCATTTGGCAATGATGTCAAGCTTGAGCATTCACTTATATTCAAGGTAGTCAAAGATATGAGGTTACCCAATTCATTTGGCAATGATGTCAAGCTTGAGCACCTCCACATATCCATGGTAGTCAAAGATGAGAGGTTGTCCAATTCATTTGGCAATGATGTCAATCTTAAGCACCACCATATATTCAAGGTAGTCAAAGATGTGAGGTTGCCCAATTCATTTGGCAATGATGTCAAGCTTGAGCACCCCCCCATATTCAAGGTAGGTAAAGATGTGAGGTTTCCCAATTCATTTGGCAATGATGTCAAGCTTGAGCACCCCCACATATCCAAGGTAATCAAAGATGTGAGGTTGCCCAATTCATTTGGCAATGATGTCAAGCTTGAGCAAATACTTACATCTAAAGTAGTCAAAGATGTGAGGTTGCCCAATTCATTGGGCAATGATATTAAGCTTGAGCAATTACTTATATTCATGGTAGTTAAAGATGTGAGGTTGCCCAATTCATTTGGCAATGATATCAAGCTTGGGCAATAACTTATGTTGAAGTTTTTCAATTAGAGAAGACTTCCTATTGATGTTGGTAATGAATATAATTGTATACAATCTTTTAAATTTAGTATCGTCAAAGAAGTCATATATTCCAAATCATTTGGTACCATGGTTAAGTTTGAACATCCTTCTAAGTCAAGTTCTAATAATGTAGGTATTCTAAAAAAAAAATTTGGAAATGTTTCTATAAAAGAACAATTTCTCAATTGTAAGATATTTAAACTCTCCAACTTTTTCCAAACATTTACGTCATGAAACATTTGCAATGCTTTGTTTGTTGATTCTCTTGGTAAGTTTTTTCTTTTAGGCATATCTAATAGAAAACATTTTAAACTAAGAGAATGTTTTATCAACACAAAAAATATGCTTATTATTCTTATAACAATATTAGGTGCAAAATCACCAATAGTACAACTTAAAAATTGAAGTGATGAAAAAGAATCACTTCTTAATTCACTTATAATATTGTTGTGTATGTTGTTGTAAAATAATCCCTCCAACTAAAAACCAAAACAATTAAATACACAATTAGATTATAATTTTTGCATTAATGACACTTTTAATGCACATACAAATCTATTTACAATACAAGATTCATATTTAAGCTTTATAACTTCACTTCAATATTCATCTAAAATACATAATATAAATAACATAACATATAAATAAAAAACCTCCAATTTTTAATTGTTCATTCTTATCTAATGCTATTATTAGTTTTGTGCATGCAATTGGAATAAAAGTTACATAAAATTACCTTGTTTGAAAATCCATAAAATAGATCTATATTCAAATTCCACATTCGTGTGTATTTATATTCCATTTCTTTCTCAACAATGTTTCTTCCCATGTCTTGTAGCTGATCATGTATTCTAATAATTTTATCTTTGTCTATTTTTACCAATGATTGGTAAATCAATGTATCTAATATAACTTCCATATCTTCTTCAAATATATTTTTTTGACTATTAGCCCACATTCGCAATGCTCTTTCTTTTGACATGCCTTGTGGATATACATCATTACTAAAAAAACAACATATGTCCAAAAATATTTTCTTCTCTTCATCTTTCAAATTGTCAAAGCTTACTCTTAGTATCTTCCAAATCTTGTAGTTACTATTGTTTTCATTTCCATCCAACTCTCTTCCCCTTTTCAACTTTTGTAGAGCTCGTTCCCAACATCTCAATCTCTTCTTCTCTCTCAAAAATGCTCCCATAACTTTAAGACTCAATGGTAGGCCATGGCAAGCTCTTACAATCTTTTCCCCAACTTCAACTAATTCATTTGGCAAATTTTCTTGGCCACAAGAATGAGTGATAAATAACTTCATACTTGTTTCTTCATCAAGTTCTTCAATATTTATTATACAAACTTCTTCACCACAATACTCTATTGCTTTTGAATCTCGAGTGGTTGCAACCAATGTGCTACCATTGTTGGTATATATGTCATCCATAGGCACAACATCTTCAATTTGACTTTGATTCTTCACGTTGTCAAATACAAAGATGGTTTTGTTCTTCATCAAGAATGATTTCAACATTTTTTGAGCTTCTTCAACATCTTTTGGTTTTGATTTGACTTTAAATTGTTCTAAAATATTGCAAGAAGTTGTAAAGCAATCAACACCATTTTCAATGCACTCAACAAAGCATGATGCATCATATATGTCTTTTACATCAGCCAATATAGCCTTTGCTAATGTGGTCTTGCCTATTCCACCCATTCCAACAAGACACAATACCTTCATTTTATTTACACATTCTTTTTTTATTCGAGATAAATATTGTTCTCTACCAAATGTATCTTCGTCAAGTAAATGAACCTACAATTAGAAATTCAACCATATATTAACATACGAATACTAGTAATCATAATCATAATAATACTTTTTTTTAATTCTAATCTAGTTTTATCAACTAATACTCTTGGAAAGGCATCTAACCCTCACTATAAGCATACAAGAGTATGTGCCAATAAAAAGTTTAAGCAATCTAATAAATTCATTATATACTTTCAATAACTTTTAGTACAAGTCTTACCTTTGGCAATCGATAAAGTGTTTGTTGCAATTCATCATTTTGATGGTAGTTGTTCTTTGATACTCCAAAATATGGTGCATTTGGGACATTCATTCCAACTAAAAACTTACATTTTCATGAGTTCAATCTTTCACAAATGCTTGCAAACTTTGGCTGATGCAAAGGCTTCAACCTCCAACATTCTCTAATAAGCTCCATCAAGTCATCACAATTTGAAGGTAGCTTTGGTCTTTCACCTCTTTCAATTCTTTCTAATATCCTTTTCATGTCACAAACATCATAAAATGGATCTTTTCGTGAAAGAATCTTGGAACATATCATTGCAAATGAGTAAACATCAGCTTCAAAAGGACACATTGCCATTGTTTGAAATCTATTTTTTAGTGCCTCTGGAGCCGTATATTTAAGACTACCATAAATGTAATTATTCTCTGTGGCTACTGAATTTCTTCCAACTTCAATCTTGGACATTCCAAAATCAATCACTTTCACAATAGCATGTCGAACAATCTTATTCATAATCTTTGATTCCACAATATTAACTAAAATATTCTCAGGCTTTAGATCACGATGTGCAATGTGCATGTCATGCAAGTAACACATTCCTTTTGCAATTTGATGCATGATGTCAATGAGAAAAATATAAGATACCTCTTTCTCTTCTTCCAACATATTTCTCAAATTGTTTTGCATCAATTCCATTCCAATATACAAATATTCTTCTTTGTCATTTGTTTCAAAAGATTCAACATTTCCATTAGCACTACCTTTCATTGCAAAATAATATGTTATCAAATTTGGATGGCTTACACTTGCTAGAATGTTCACTTCTTTAATGAAAAACTTATCATATGCAACATGAATTTTTTTAGTTGCACACAAAAGTCCCAACCACTTGGATTTATAAACTTGTCCAAAAGTTCCAAATTCTTCCTTCACATATTCTATGATTTTGAGACTTGTCATATCTGTTGTAAAATTCAAAGCATCCAATTCTCCAATCTCTATGTAATACAAGTCTTTGTACCTTCGTAATAGATGCTTTACTAATACATGATGTTCAAAATCTTCTTCTTTACTTGCATGAATCAACCGCTCATGTAAAAGTATAATATCATCTTCTACTTCTTGACATGTTGCAACATCAAAACTATTAAATATAATGTCTTCAAATTTGTAGGAATTATGCTTTGAAAGCATATCACTTGCAATATTACAACAACATTTTAAATCTAGTATTAGTTCTCTAAAAGTCTCTTTGTTATTGAATTGGAATATAGCTTCTTCACACCAATTTGGTTTTCCACACTTCTTTACTAGAGAGTAAGATTTATTCAGTATAAAAAATAGCTCACTTAATAGAAGTCCAAACTCTAATTTATCATTGGTGCAAGTTATTAAGTTGTCAAAAATCTTTGTAACATTTTCAATTTTCTTGCACAAATTAGTACATTGGTTTCTATTCAACATGTACTTTCTCTTCAATAAAACCTTGAATGCTCCTATGTAAGCTTTAGAACCTTCCCAAGTATCTCCACAAATACCTTGCATGTTTGATATTTCTTCATATTGTTCCATGGTGCTTGAAGATCTTGACATGAAGAGACCATGTAAATAACTCCAAACCATGTATATACATTTCTTGAATAATTCCAAAAGATATCCCATCTTGATTTTGTAAACTAATAAAATCAATTTCACCTTCTCACCACATGTAGAGAACATGTTAAATGTATTTAGAATTTCAAAAAATCTTCTCAAACTCTTTTAGATGAATTGTTCCACAAACCATACCATTTTTTTATCCAAAAAAAATGAATCTATACTTCTAAAACCAAACCATCACTTAATTTATGTACATATTTTTAATAATCTCATTTCAACCTATGTTAAAAATTACTAATCCTATGTCAAACATCAAAACCTTAAATTACTTCTACTTAAAGAAATCTACCTAAAACTTTTACACAAAAATGAAATAATCTACCAACAAGATGCAAAGCTCAAACATTTAAAATATCTATGTAACAAAGTACACAAGTCACTCTAGAGAACTTTTGTCATAGTGGATACCGAAAGAAGTTAAATTGCAATTCAACAAACTGCCGCCGACGCAAGGATGACAAGTAAGATTGCCGTTTCTCAATCAGGTTTTAAGAAAATCACGTCTCATCGTTCAGATTGTCCGCAAATGATCCACCACGACTCGCACAGCGCCGCTCCTCAAATACACATGCACCAAGCGTTGGAGAATATACCAATAACACACCTAATACACAAGTCACTCTCCAGAACTTTTGTCGTAGAGGATACCGAAGAGGCTGTTAAATTGCAGTTCAACCATCTGCCGCCAAGGCAAGGATGACAAGTAAGATTGCCGTTTAACAATCAGGTTTAAAGAAAATCACATCTCATAGTTCAGATTGTCCGCAATCGTTCCACCACGACTCGCTCAGCGCCGCTTCTCAAATACACATGCACCAGGCGTTGAAGAATACAGCAAAACCTCGAGCGCCTCAAGTGCTCTCCACCAAAAAGCACTTTGACACTTCCATTCAAGCCAGACTGGACCCTCTCCGGCACAGGAAACGGATCAGTCGTGCAGACACGAAATCACCTTCCACACAACTCTCATGCTCCTCAAACCACGGGGGCTTGACACTACAGCCCGACAGGACACCTAGAGGAGAAATAAACTAATACAGGTTACAGGGGCACAAAATCAATGATTCATGGCTATCCCACACTGAAAATGGAAAGGAGAAGTGAGGTATCTCAACAATCATGATACGCGTGGGAACACCGAAAGCCACGCAACGCAACATGCAAGCCCCTCGAAACCTAATACATACCCTAACGCATACCCTGATGCAGCAACCACTGTGAACCGTACAACGAACCAAAACTCCGCAACCTCCGACAGTGCCAAGCCACGTATTGGTGAATCTCTCTCCTCCGACGTAAAGATCCCACAGAGAAATTTCCCTCCGCCTCTGAACACCGCGCAGTGCCACAAGCTGCGGCGGCCACCACCAAACCCCTGGACCATCGACAAACCCTAAATAATGCGGAGACGCGCAATCCCCTATGAACTC